AAAAATTGAGATACCTGATTTTTCTTTTCTTTCCTTTTTTTATTTTTTTTTAAGAGTCAAAAGTCTCGATCTGTCACCCAGGCTGTAGTGCAGTGGTGTGATCATAACTCACTATACCCTTCTGGGCTCAAGGGATTTTCCTGCCTCATCCTCCCCAGTAGTTGGGACTAAAGACATGCACCACTATACCTGGCAAATTTTTAAAAAAAATTTTTTGTAGAAACGAGTTCTCATAGCTGGTCTCTGTGCCACCGTACCCTGCCCCTGCTTTCTTTTCTTTTTCTTATTTTTTTTTTTGAGACAGAGTCTTGCTCTGTGTTCCAGGCTGGAATGCAGTGGCATGATCTCAGCTCACCGCAACCTCTGCCTCCTGGGTTCAAGCAGCTCCCTGCCTCAGCCTCCTGAGTAGCTGAGATTACAGGCACGTGCCACCATGCCTGGCTCATTTTTGTATTTTTAGTAGAGACGGGTTTCACCATCTTGGCCAGGCTGGTCTTGAACTTCTGACCTCGTGATCCACCTGCCTCAGCCTCCCAAAGTGCTGGGATTACAAATTGTGAGTCATGGCGCCCACCCCCGGCCCCTGCTTTTAAATGTCATCTCTTCAGACAGGTCTTCCCTCACTATCTAATGATTCGAAAGTGTCTACTCATTTGCTTTTATTACAACACCTTATTTTAATTCTTTGATCTTACTTATCAATATCTGATAATTTTCTGGTTTACTTATATTTGTTCATAGTCTTCTCCAATTAGAGAAGAATAGGGATATTGTCTGATTGTGTTTTTTGGTTTTGTTTTGTTTTTGTTTTTTTTTGAGGTGGAATCTCGCTCTGCTGCCCAGGCTGGAGTGCAGTGGTGCAGTCTTGGCTTACTGCAACCTTTGTCTCCCAAATTCAAGTGATTCTTGTGCTTCAGCCTCCCCAGTAACTGGGATTACAGGAGCGTGCCACCATGCCCAGCTAATTTTTGCATTTTTAGTAGGAATAAGGTTTCACCATGTTGGCCAGGCTGGTCTTGAGCTCCTGACCTCAAGTGATCCACCTGCTTTGGCCTCCCAAAGTGCTGGGATTACAGGCATTAGCCACCGTGCCTGGCTGATACTGTTTTATTCATTGTTGTTTTCCTAGCACCTAGGACAGTATCTGGCACATTATTGACGGTAAATACTTATGAAGTGAATAGTAAAACAACTTCATTTGTCTTATGAGGCCCTTTTGGCCTCTCCGGCATCATCTGCATCAGTCTCCTATCTTGACCTTCCCATCCTCCAGCTTATGACATCTCTTTAGATGTGCTTTCTTACTGCAGGGCCTTTGTATGTGCTCTTAACTGTGCCTAAAACACCCTTCCTCACATGCCCTGCCACTGCCTGGATATCTCCTATTCATCATTCAAGTTACAACAGCTCAAGTATGACTTTACCTGGTTAGCCTTGATCCTGCAACTCTGCATACATTACCATTAATTGTCATATGTATTGTAATTATTTTATTGTCTGTGTCCTTCACTAGACTATAAGTTATGTGGGGCAAAAGCTTATGTTGTGCTTACCATGAATTTCTAGTCAAGGCTTATCAGTAGCGTTTAGAAGGATTTTTGAGGTGGGGCACTAGGGAGGGGGTTAGAGTATCGGGGGCAGCACCTGAGGTCTAGGAGGTGTACTTTAGGATGTTAAGGTGAGGTTTAAACGGTGGCCCTTGGTTCATTGTTATTCTTTCTATTTTATCCATCTTTGGTGATTTCCATGTTTGCCTGGAAGAACCATCTAAAATACTTGAGTCATATCCATTAAACCAGGGTATGCTTGACACAAAGACTTGCTCATGAAGCAGGGGCATGTGTCCTGAGGATAAAGGTTTAAGAATCAGGGTAGGCATATTATTAACTTCAGGTAGCTGAGGGCACAATAACTGATAGTGGAGTAGAATGCTAAGCAAAGAAGTAAGCAAAATGTCTGAAGGATAAGATGATGCAAGGCTGAAGCAGGAAGATAAATCATTAAGTCATAAGCATGGAGCATATGGATAGTGTGTAGAGTGTAAAAAGGAATAGGGCAAACAGTTCAGGATTAGGGTCGTAAATAATCTTGGAGATTTCTTAAATCAACTTCTAGCATTCTTACCTCTTTAGTTTGGAACCAGCTTTTGGATTATAGAAAGGATCAGATAGTTGACATACAAGGATTTGAGTAAGATATATATTACTTTCTTTGTATTTTATGGACTCTTTAAAATCCTCAGAAATCCTACCTTAACTTTTCCTCCACCTCAATTTCTGCTGCCAAGAGCCTGTCATCCGTTCTTTTAAATATATCAGGTTTGCCAGGCGTGGTGGCTCACGCCTGTAATCCCAACACTTTGGGAGGCTGAGGCAGGTGGATCATGAGGTTGGGAGTTCGAGACCAGCTTGGCCAACATGACAAAACCCCGTCTCTACTAAAAATACAAAAATTAACTGGGCATGGTGGTAGGCACTTGCAATCCCAGCTACTCAGGAGGCTGAGGCAGGAGAATCACTTTAACCTGGGAGGCAGAGGTTGCAATGAGCTGAGATTGTGCCATTGCACTCCAGACTGGGCAACAGAGCAAGACTCTGTCTCAAAAAATAATCAGGTTCAGTTCCCTTATCTTTTAAACAAGTTGTGTATACAGGAGCCTGCAACAGTCCTGGAGCTCCCTTCAGATAGGGTGAAGGGAGAGTGAGCTCTTTTCAGACTACCTCCTTCCACTGAACCAGGTGTAGGAACTGGCCGCAGCACCTTGGGAGTTCAGGACTCTATTCAACATGAATCTGTGGAATTTCTCTCTGAATTTTGGGCAGTGAGTATTCTGTATAGTATAGTACAGGACTCTGTCAGTGAGGCCTAGTAAAAAGTAGTGGAAGACTGGCTGGACGTGCATGTAATGGTGGGAAGATATGTAGGAGTGGGCATCAAAGTTTTTGACCTGGCTTTTAAATTTTGACGGGTTTGGGTGCACTGATGTGCCAAGTAGAGAGTCTCGAGGAGTAGCGCTAGTCCCTGGCCCTTAGAGGTGTCTTTGTATGTAGCTTGGAGCTCTTTTGCAGACTGGTGGGGATTCATGAAGATAGAATACTTACTGAGGAGGAGTGTGTTCTCTCTTGAAGATTGGATAGAGTGGCTATTTGCACAGACTGGGCAGTCTGTGGCGTGGTCATCTAGTCTCTGTGAGGTGAGGCACCTGCATTCCCTTCCTAGGGCTGTGCTGGGAAAACCAGCTTAAGAGAACTGGAGGTCATGATCATTGTTAGTGATTTCCCTAAGACTGCTCACTATCTTTGCTTGCCCGCTCTGTTCTCTTAAGTCCCATGCTGTAATGTCCTGCCTTTTATTTTCTGCTTTGGGACCTTCAAATTACATAATTCATTCAGACTTCTCTTTCTAGAGATAAGGTCTGACTATATTGCCCAAGCTAGAGTGTAGTGGCTGTTCATAGGCATGATCATAGCACACTACAGTCTTGAACTTCAGCTCAAATGATCTTCCTGTCTCAGTCTTCCAAGTAGCTAGGATATAGGCGTGCACCATCATACCTAGACTACTCTGTCTAGATTACTTACCCAAATGCCCAGCTTCACATAGTACTCTAATTATGACATTGACAGCCAGCTTCAAGTAAAGGCCTTTCTTCATTAGCTCTGTTCGTAGAGCTATGGTTTTGAAGTTTTAGTGCATCAGAATTCCCCATGAGGGTGAGGGAGGGGGTGCTGGATACTTGTTTAAAATGCAGATCCCTGGTATCAACTGCTAGATACTCTAATTCAGTAGGTATGGGGTGGTAACCAGGAATCTGCAGTTTCATCAGCCTCCCAGGTAATTCTGACACTATAGTCTTCGTCTCCAGACCATATTTAGAGAAACTTTGACTTAAAGGCCTCTGCCATTTTCTCTACCCTTAAAGGGGCAGGGAAGATATTTGAGTTCTTTACTTGGATCCTGAAAGTATATGAACCTTAGTTTTTTGCCTGTCATGCAGTGGGGACAGTTGCTAACTGTCTCTGTGTATGGGCACCTATCTTCTTGTTACTATAGTAGGAGCAGAGCCCAGATTAGGTGGAAGGCCTTATGATTCCCCAAGGCAGGTTAGTGACTTTGGGGTTTACAGGGGTCGTTTGCTTGGATTAAAAAAGCAGGCCTGAATGTAGACCTGAGGACTGCTAAATCAGGCACACTTCAGACCTGTCTCTGGAGTTTTTCTCATCACCATATACCTTAATCCTGTCCTAGCATAGGCCTTCCTCATCTGGTCTCCACATTGTCCTAATTCCCCATTGTGGCCATTCTCCATGCTTTTTTCACTCATCCCACAAAAGAACCTGATCTTTTCTTTCTCCTCTTAAAATTCTCTATTGCATTCCTGTTACTTAGACAATCAAGTCATGATGTCTTAGGTTGGAATAAAGTCTTGGCACAGTTTGGCCCAAATTGTGGCCTGAAAGGCCCTGTAATATCTGGTTCCTGCATGTTTGTCAAGTCTCATCCCAGGCCCCTCCTTCTCTACTGCTGGCACCCTCATCTGCTCACGGTTCGTTGACCCCTTCTCCAGTGGTTTCTGGCCTAAGGGCCTTTGCAGTGCTGTATAGCTTCTGCCTGGAACACTCTTTTATTTTATTTTATTTTTATTTGAGACAGAGTCTAACCACTCTCGACCAGGCTGGAGTGCAGTGGCTCAATCTTGGCTTACTGCAACTTCCACCACCTGGGTTCAAGCAATTCCGTGGCTCAGCCTCCCAAGTAGCTGGAATTACAGATGTACACCACCACACCTGACTAATTTTTTGTACTTTTAGTGAAGATGGGTTTTACTGTGTTGGCCAGGCTGGTCTTGAACTCCTGACCTCAGGTGATCCACTTGCTTCAGCCTCCCAAAGTGCTGGGATTACAGGCATGAGCCACCGTGACTGGTCTCATAGGCTTTTCAACTGTATGTTGTGATTTCACCCATGTAAGAGATAGATGGTAATACCTCTCTTTTACAGGTGACAACCCAGAGGCTCTAAGACGGGGTCCCCAGCCCGTCTGTGGCCCAACAGGAACAGGTTGCACAGCAGGAGGTGAGTGGTGGGCAGTGAGCAAAGCTTTATTGGTATTTTTACAACCATTACTTGCATTGCTGCCTTATCCTGTCAGATCAGTGGCAGCATTAGATTCTCATAGGAGCGGGAACCTATTGTGAACTGAGCAAGTGATCAGGTTGCATGGATCTAGGTTGCATGCTCCTTACAATAATCTAATGCCTGATGATTTGTCACTGTCTCTTATCTCCCCAACATGGGATGATCTAATTGCAGGAAAACAAGCTCAGGGCTCCCACTGATTGTACATTATGATGAGTTGTATAAATTATTTCATTATATATCACAACATAATAATAATAGAAATAAAGTGCACAATAAATGTAATGTACTTGAATCATCCTGAAACCATTCCCTCCCCTCTGTCCATGGAAGAATTGTCTTCCATGATACTGGTCCTTGATGCCAAAAAGGTTGGGGATGGCTGCTCTAACAGATTAATTAACTTGGAAATGGCAGAACTCATATTTGAACCCTGATGTATAGAAGAGCCCTCATTTCTACCTCACTATGCTCCCTGTAAGAAAACCAATCAGTGTGTATACCTATGTAACAAACCTGCACGTTCTGCACATGTATCCCAGAACTTAAAGTATAATAATAATAAAAGAAATTCAATTTACCATTAAAAAAAAAAGAAAACCAGTCAATAGACTGAAAGACACTGAGGTGAAAGAGGTGCTTTAAAAAAAATTAGGTTATAGAACTTAAAGGTCTGGTATGGTGGCTCATTCCTGTAATCCCAGCAGTTTGGGAGCGTGAGGTAGGCATATCACCTGATGTCAGGAGTTCGAGACTAGCCTGGCCAATGTAGTGAAACCCTATCTCTACTAAAAATATAAAAAATTAGCTGGGCGTGGTGGCGGGTTCTTGTAATCCCAGCTACTCAGGAGGCTGAGGCAGGAGAATTACTTGAACCCAGGATGTGGAGGTTGCAGTGAGCCGAGATCACACCATTGCATTCCAGTCTGGGTGACAGTGCGAGAGTCCGTCGCAAACAAAATATAAAAAACAAAAAAAACTTTAAAAAATATTTCATCAGAGCCCAGGCATGGTAGCTCACGCCTGTGATCCCAGTACTTTGGGAGGCTGAGGCAGGTGATCACTTGAGGCCAGGAGTTCCAGACCAGCCTGGCCCACATGGCAAAACACTGTCTCTATAAAAAATATAAAAATCGGCTGGGCGCGGTGGCTCAAGCCTGTAATCCCAGCACTTTGGGAGGCTGAGGCAGATGGATCACGAGGTCAGGAGATCGAGACCATCCTGGTCAACATGGTGAAACCCCGTCTCTACTAAAAAATATACAAAAAATTAGCTGGGCATGGTGGCGCGTGCCTGTAATCCCAGCTACTCAGGAGGCAGAGGCAGGAGAATTGCCTGAACCCAGGAGGCGGAGGTTGCCGTGAGCCGAGGTTGCCGTGAGCCGAGATCGCGCCATTGCACTCCAGCCTGGGTAACAAGCGTGAAACTCCGTCTCAAAAAATAAATAAATAAATAAATAAATAAATAAATAAATAAATAAATAAAAATAAAAATCTGGGTGCAGTGGCACGTACCTGTAGTCCCAGCTACTTGGGAAGCTGAGGCAGGAGAACCGCTTGAACCTGGGAAGTGGAGGTTGCTTGAAGCTGGGAGGTGGAGGTTAACTCCAGCCTGGGTGATAGAGTGAGACTCTGTCTCAAAAAAGAAAAAAAAAAATTTCCTCAGAGTTAAACACAGTAAAATGAATATTTTTCACAAGCCATTAATAAAGACAGCAGAATTACGAAAGATGACCATAACATTGAGAGGATGATGTGTATTTCATGTATTTCCTTGATCATATCCGTGATTCGCTGTGGTACTGATAAAGCCAACACATACAGCCTAGTAGAAATGAGTTTGGCTGGGCACATTGGTTCATGCCTGTAATCCCAGCACTTTGGGATGCAGAGACAGCTGAGATTGCTCCACTTTACTCCAGCCTGGGTGACAGAGTGAGACCCTGTCTCTAAAAAAGAGTGAGCTGAGATGAAATGTTATTTCAAGTCAAAGCAAAGAAAACATCAATCATTAAGTTTCTTGGAGGATACATAAAGAGAGAAATCTGAACTTTTTTTTTTGAGTCAGGGTCTACCTATCATTGTCACTCAGGCTGGAATGCAGTGGCGCAGTCTCCACTCACTGCAGCTTCAACCTCCCAAGCTCCAGCCATCCTCCCACGTCAGTCTCCCATGTAGCTAGCACTGCAGGCTTGTGCCACTATGCCTGGCTAATTTCTGTTTGTTTTTTTGCAGAGATGGGGTCTCACTATGTTGCCCACATTGGTCTCAAAGTGATCTCAAGCAGTACTCTCACCTCAGCCTCTCAAAGTGCTAGGATTACAGGCATGAGCCACCATGCTTGGCCTGAATGTATTTGTTGAGGGAAAAGCTATGTAAAATTGATGTGCAAAGCCCTTAATATGTTTTGCTTTAAAAATACATTTTATTGGCTGGGCGAGGTGGCTCATAATCCCAGCACTTTGGGAGGCTGAGGCAGGCAAATCACCTGAGGTCAGGAGTTCGAGACCAGCCTGGCCAACATGGTAAAATCCTGTCTACTAAAAATACAATTAGCTGGACCTGGTGGTACATACCTGTAATCCCAGCTACTTGGGAGGCTGAGACAGGAGAATTGCTGAAACCCAGGAGACAGAGGTTGTAGGGAGCCGAGACACCCCACTGCACTACCGCCTGGGCAAGAGAGCGAGACCTTATCCCCCCACTCCCCAAAACAACAGCAGCAACAAAAAAAATGTAATGGATGATTGGATGCAGGAAAAAGAAAAATGTCACAGATATACACAAACACATTGATATGTGTGGAACAATCTCCAAAATCTGTAATTAAGAGAAAACTAAAGAAAGGTGCGGAATAGTATTTATGACTAGTATACTAGCGTTAGCATTTGTATATAAAAAAGGGGAGAAACTCTGTGTACTTGTTATATACCCATACTGTTTCTGAAAGTTTTCTTTTTCTTTCTTTTCTTCTTTTTTTAATAGAGACGGGGGTTTCACCATGTTGCCCAGGCTGGTCTAGAACTCGTGGACTCAAGCAATCCACCTGCCTTGGTCTCCCAAAGTGCTGGAATTATAGGCATGAGACACTATGCCTGGCCTTTTTATTTTTTAATATCCTTCTCTGTTGCTGAATTTTTTTCCCCCATATGATCATTACTATTTTGTTTTTTTGAGGCAGTCCTCCTCTGTCGCCCAAGCTGGAGACAGTGGCGTGATCTTGGCTCACTGCATCCTCCACCTCCTGGGTTCAAGTGATCTTCCTGTCTCGGCCTCCCAAGTAGATGGGATTGCAGATGCATGCCACACTGCCCAGCTAAGTTTTGTATTTTTGATAGAGATGGGGTTGCATGATGTTGGTCAGGCTCGTCTTGAACTCCTGACCTTGTGATCTGCCCACCTCAGCCTCCCAAAGTGCTGGGATTACAGGTGTCAGCCACCGTGCCCCAACATTACTTTTTTTTTTGAAATGGAGTCTCGCTCTGTTGCCTATGCTGGAGTACAGTGGCTCAATCTTGGCTCACTGCATCCTTACACCTCCCGGGTTCAAGCAACTCTCCTGCCTCAGTCTCCTAAGTAGCTGGGATCACAGGCATGCGCCACCACGCCCAGCTGATTTTTTTTTTTTTAATTTTTAGTAGAGGCGGGGTTTCGCCACGTTGGCTAGGCTGGTCTCGAACTCCTGACCTCATAATCCACCCATAATCAGCCTCCCAAAGTGCTGAATTTACAGGCATGAGCCACCGTGCTTGGCCAGTCATTTTAAGTCTGTGAGAAATTGTGGTTAAAAAAAAAACATAAAATTTGCAGTGTTAACCATTTTTAAGTCTACGTTTTATATGTTTTAGTAGTCTTAGGTATATGCACATTTTGTGTAACAAATCTCCAGAACTTTTTCATCTTGTAAAACTGAAATTCCGTACTCTTAAGCAACAACTCTTCTTGCCCCACCACTCCTTTCTCTCTAGTAACCACCATTCTACTTTCTGTTTCTATGAATTTGATTATATAAATAATAATCGAATAGTCATATAAATAGTCATATAGTATTTTTGTGTGTGTGAGGGGCTTATTTTACTTCGCATAATGTGTTAGGGTTCATCCATGTTGTAGCACGTGACACAGGATTTCTTTCTGGTTTAAGGCAGAATAATATTCTGCCTTAAAGAATGTATGCATTGGCCGGGTGCAGTGGCTCATGCCTGTAATCCCAGCACTTTGGGAGGCCGAGGTGGGTGGATCACGAGGTCAAGAGATTGAGACCATCCTGGCCAACATGGTGAAACCCTGTCTCTACTAAAAATGCAAAAATTAGCCAGGCGTGGTGGCGCGCACCTGTGGTCCTAGCTACTTGGGAGGCTGAGGAGGAAGAATTGCTTGAACCCAGGAGATAAAGGTTGCGGTGAGCCGAGATCGAGCCACTGCACTCCAGCCTGATAACAGAGCAAGACTCCTATCTCAAAAAAAAAAAAAGAATGTATGCATCATAGTTTAGCCATTTGTTCATCAATACATTGCCTTTTAAAAAATTTTATTTTTTTTATTTTTAATTTTTTTGTAGAGACAGAGTCTACATAGTCTTTTGCTATGTTGCCCAGGCTGGTCTTTAATTCCTCGCCTCAAGTGATCCTCCTGTCGTGGCCTCTGAAGTGTCAGGATTACAGGCATGTGTTGTCACACCCAACCTGATACATTTCCTTTATAGATACTGTTTTTTACCCCCCGTATTTCTTCCATTAAAAAAAAAAAAAGATAAAACGATAAAATGGGCTACATGTGCGGAATGTGCATGTTTGTTACATAGGTAATACGTGTGCCATGGTGGTTTGCTGCACCTATTGACTCATCCTCTTAAGTTCCCTCCTCTCACCCCCGGATCCGCCAACAGCCCTGCTGTGTGTTGTTCCCTTCTCCGTGTCCATGTGTTCTCCATGTTCAGCTCTCACTTAGGAGTGAGAACATGTGGTGTTTGGTATTATGTTCCTGTGTTAGTTTGCTGAGGATGATGGCTTCCAGCTTCAACCATATCCCTGCAAAGGACATGATCTCATTCCCTTTTATGTCTGCATAGTATTCCATGGTATATATGTACCATATTTTCTTTATCCAGTCTATCATTGATGGGCATTTGGATTGGTTCCATGTCTTTGCTTTTGCAAATAGTGCTGCAGTAAACGTACGTGTGCATGTGTCTTTTTTTTTCTTTTTTGAGTAGAAGCTCTTAATCTTTTTCTTTTTTTTTTTTTGAGATGGAGTCTTGCTCTGTCTCCCAGGCTGGAGTGCAGTGGCACCATCTTGGCTCGCTGCAACCTCCACCTCCTGGGTTCCAGAGATTCTCCTGCCTCAGCCTCCTGAGTAGCTGGATTTACAGGTGTGCGCCACTGCCTGGCTAATTATATATTTTTAGTAGCGAGGGGTTTCACCATGTTGGCCAGTCTGGTCTCAAACTCCTAACCTCAGGTGATCTGCCAACCTCGGCCTCCCACAGTGCTGGGATTACAGGTGTCAGACACAGCCTGGCCTGCATGTGTCTTTATAGTAGAATGATTTATATTCCTTTGGGTATGTACCCAGTAATGGTCTCGATCCTTGAGAAATTGCCATATAGTCTTCCACAATGGTTGAACTAATTTATAATTTCCATTCCCACCAACAGTGTAAAAGCATTCCTGTTTCTCCACAGCTTTGCTAGTATCTATTGTTTCCTAACTTTTTAATAGTTGCCGTTCTGACTGGTGTGAAGTGGTATCTCATTGTGGTTTTTGATTTACATTTCCCTTTTGATCAATTGTTGAGCTTTTTTTTTTAAAAGATGGGGTTTCACCATGTTGGTCAGGCTGGTCTTGAACTGCTGACCTCAGGTGATCTGCCTGCCTTGGCCTCTAAAGTGCTTGGCCTCTAAAGTGAGCCACCATGCCCAGCCTGAGCTTTTTTAAAAAATGTATGTTGGCTGTGTAAATGTCTTCCTTTGGGAAGTGTCTGTTCACATCCTTTGCCCACTTTTTGATGGGGTTGTCTGTCTTTCTTGTAAATATGTTTAAATTCCTTGTAAATTCTGGGTATAGACCTTTGTCAGATGAGCAGGTTGCAAAAATTTTTTCCTATTCTGGAGGTTGCCTGTTTGTTCTGATGATAGTTTTTTTGCCGTGCAGAAGCTCTTTAGTTTAATTAGATCCCATTTGTTAACTTTGGCTTTTGTTACAATTGCGTTTGGTGTTTTTGTCATGAAGTCTTTGCCCATGCCTATGTCCTGAATGGTATTGCCTAGGTTTTCTTCCAGGGTTTTTATAGTTTTGGGTTTTACATTTAAGTCTTTAATCCATCTTGAGTTAATTTTTGTGTAAGGTATAAGGAAGGGGTCCAATTTCAGTTTTCTGCATATGGGTAGCCAGTTTTCTCAGCACCATTTACTGAATAGGAGATCTTTTCCCCATTGCTTGTTTTTGTCAGGTTTGTAGAAGATCAGATGGTTGTAGATGTGTGGCGTCATTTCTGAGGTCTCTGTTCTGCTTCATTGGTCTATATGTCTTTTTGGTACCAGTACTATGCTGTTTTGGTTACTGTAGTCTTGTAGTATAGTTTGAAGTCAGGTAGTGTGATGCCTCCAGCTTTGTTCTTTTTGCTTAGGATTGTCTTGGCTATATGAGGTCTTCTTTGATTCTATATGAAATAAAAATATGGAACGCTTCATGAATTTGTATGTCATCCTTGCTCAGGGGCCATGCCAGTCTTCTCTGTAGTGTTCCAATCTGTTGCCCAGGATGGAATACCAATCTTGGCTCATTGCAACCTCTGCCTCCTGGGTTCAAACAGTTCTCCTGCCTCAGCTTCCTGAATAGCTGGGATTACAGGTGCCCGCTGCCATGCCTGGCTGCTTTTTTTTGTAGAGACGGGGTTTCACCATGTTGGCCAGGCTGGTCTCAAACTCTTGACCTCGGGTGATCCGCTAGTCTCAGCCTCGCAAAGTGCTGGGATTATGGGCGTGAGCCACCTTGCCTGGCCTGAACGTTTTTTAAAAGTACTTTTTTTTCGTTTGTTTGAGACAGAGTCTCGTTCTGTCACCAGGCTGGAGTGTGGTGGCCTGATCTCGGCTCACTACAGCCTCTGCCTCCTGGGTTTAAGCGATTCTCCTGTTTCAGCATCCCGTGTAGCCGGGACTATAGGCGCGCACCACCATACCCAGCTAATTTTTGTATTTTTAGTAGAGATGGGGTTTCACCATGTTAGCCAAGGTGGTTTCGATCTTTTGAGCTTGTGATCCACTGCACTTGGCCTCCCAAAGTGCTGGGATTACAGGTGTGAGCCACTGCACCCGGCCTTTAAAAGTACTTTACTTCATTTTATAAATGTGATCCTGAAAAGTTGGGTATAAACATTGTATATATTTGAATGTATAATACAGGGATAGTTTGAGGGGTGGTTAAATCATATCTTAGTTAACTTTACAGCAAAGAGACTCTTTTTTTGTATTGTGAATGATCCCCAACTTTATGTCTCGAATGTTGGTATTGGAGATTTTTCTTGAAGTCAAACATACCTCTCCTAGGAATGGAACCTTTTAAAAGGGAGAGATTTGGTTATTTGAAATTGAAGATAGCTATGTATACCAGGACACCCCACCATTTGTCTTACTTTATCCACTTCTCCATTTGTTGTTTTACCAGCATCTCTGTTTTCCTGTTCCATGCACTAGAAATCTTGGAGCCCTCTTATTTTTATAATACACTTCCTATGTGTTGATTTTGTTTTCCCTAATAAAGTAAATTTTTGAAGGTAGGAGGCGTCTCTTATATCCTTTAGTGATGAGCATAATAAGAGATTTTAGTAAATGCATATTTGGCAAAGATGAGAGAGGTGGAGAGAGAAGAAAGTTCCTCTGCTGAAAAAGTGTGACTACTTTTGGGTTTTGTCGACTTCATATGGTACCCATCACTAGTGGGGAATTTCTTCCACTTGCAGACCAAGTGTGTCCTCTGCCAACGAAGTGTGATTACTTTTGGTTTTTGTCTACCTCATGTGGTACTCATCACTAGCAGGGAGTTTCTTCCACTTGCAGACCAAGTGTGTTGGGGACTTGAGATGTGTACATATGTGTATGCAGTGTTTCCTGCTGAAAGCCCAGGTAAGATAGCAGAAGCCAGACTGGGGCCTGAAGAATCTGACTTGATAGTATGTAGAATGACTTCTGTGATAGCCCTGAGGAGAGAATCTCAGATTTCTATCCTCTTTTTAACATCAATCCTGAATACTTAACTGTCAGCAGGGCAGCTGGACCTGAACATGCTTTAGGTTTCTTTCTTTTTTTTTTTGAGACAGATTTTTGCTCTTGTTTCCCAGGCTGGCATGCAATGGCGTGATCTTGGATCACTGCAACCTCTGCCTTCTGGGTTCAAGTGATTCTCCTCCCTCATCCTCCCAAGTAGCTGAGATTACAGGTCATGACTGGCTAATTTTTTGTATTTAGTAGAGACAGGGTTTCACCATGTTGATCTGACCAGTCTTGAATTCCTGATGTCAGGTGATCCACCCATCTTGGCCTCCCAAAGTGCTGGGATTACAGGTGTGCAACACCACACGTGGCCAACTTTAGGCTTCTTAAACTCAGTAGCACATAGTAGGAATGTTCGATAAAAGTGATTTTGCAAAAAAATAAAATAAAAAGAAAAAAGTGATTTTGCTTTTTTTTTGCCAGTAGTATATGAAAGCACTTAATACAGGGCCTGGCTTATAGTTGGTGTCCAAGGGATGACAGAGAGTATGTGAGAAATATTTTCATATAGTTGAATCTTTCCCTAAGTGCCCTGCCTCCACTCATGTGCCCGTACCCCCCACCCCAGGCTAAAGATACAGGCGACAACAATGTGGATTTCACCTTTGGGAAGTTTCCAGTTCCTTATTTGTGGCTTTATGCTCAAACAAGAAGTGTAGTCTGTTCCTACATATCTAAGAGCAGATAGATTTGAACCCTATCTACCCTCACCCCAGACTGAAAGTATTTGAATCAAACTAACATGTCCGGTCACTCTAAGCAGCTTTCTTGGTAGGGACCTAGTTTTGAGAACGATAGTGGGGAAGTCTGTGACTCTCTGGGGTAACTGGGCAAGGCAGTACATATGGGGATTGAGCATGAATTAATTTACCCAGGATAGCTTATGAGTACAGGCATGGAGGAGAGGACAGGGTAGGGGCCAAAAAGGGCTTGACACTGTCATTTCTGCTCATAGAAAGATGTAGGCTTTGTGTGCCAAGTGTAGAGCTCTGGCCTCCTGTGGCCTGTCACCGCCATATGAGTCAGTCTTGCTCCCAGCTGTCCCTGTAGGGCATCTTGGGTTTAGTAGGGGATGAAATAGGGATTCTAAGTCAGGTAGCCTTTTTTCAAATCCTGCAGGTGTGCAGGGAGGAGTTGTGCCTCCCAGGACCTGTTTCCTCTGTGTTGAAGTAAGAGGAATCCCATCTAGATTCTGTGGGGGTTTCCTTCCATCCTTGCGTCTCTTTTTCACACTGTCACTGGCCTGGCTTCTGGGAAGAAGAGAGAGAGGATGAGAGAAATAAAGAACTTGAGGAGGTGTATAGATTTGCTGTCCTTAAATTCTTTCTGGAAGAAAGTATAGATATTGGGAGGAAGATCAGCAAATGGGTGGGTGAACACATATACTGCTTATACTATTGCCTGGCACTCAGCCTGGACCCTTACTCAGTATTACTAATCTTTTTGTAGGTTGGTCCACTCTCCCAGTTGGAATATGAGCATATATATACACATGTAACTTTTTATCAGTAGTCATGCCTTGTTACTGTTTTACCATGTTTTTTCACTTGAAGACATTTTCAGGTCAATAAATACAGAATAAAGGGCTGATATTTCAGTGGGTGGATATATCATACTGCTATTATTCTCTAATATTTAATCTATTTATCTTATCTGTTATCTATGGGGCTGCCTTTGACTCCCTTACTTAACAAGATGACAATCCCCCTTTCTTCTCTTTCTTCCCACCTATATTTTTCTCTATAGCATTTAGCATCACTTGATACATTATATACTTTTCTTATTTTTTTGCTTATTGCCTAACTTTCCTCCGTTAGAATATAAGCTCCATGAAGACAGGGATTTTTCTTTTAAAAATGGTCTTATTATGCTAGAATCAGGCAGCATTTTATTCTATATCACAGAATGAGTGTTCCCCTGCTTTTTTTTTTGAGACAGGGTCTCGCTCTGTGACCCATGCTGGAATGCAGTGGCATGATCTGGATTCACTGTAACCTTAACCTCCTGGGCTCAAGTGATCCTCTTACCTCAGCCTCTCAGGTAATTGGGACTACAGCCATGTGCTACTTCACCCAGCTAATTTAAAAATTTTTTTAAAAAGATCTGGTTTCACTCTGTTGCCTAAGCTTAAACTCCTAGGTTCATGCAGTTCTCCCTCCTCAGTCTCCCAAAATGTTGGGATTACAGGTGTCAACCACCACGCCTGGCCCTTTTTTCTTTTTTATCCATGCTCTATACCTGGTATTGAGAACAGTTCCTGGTACCACATTGATGCTCAATAAATATTTGTTGAGTGAATTAATTTGTTGGATATTTGGTATATGTTAACTTGTTGCGGATATTTGGTATATTCAACAAATTAATTCATTGGGCTTTTTATTTGTAATATTTTGATTATTATGAGCATTCTGTGCTAAACACTTGGTATATACATCTTTGCATGCTTGTCCACTGTCTCTTTAGGATAAATTCCAAAAAATCCATAAGCCAAGTTAAAGGGTATGCATATTTAAAATGTTCATTCATGGAGCCAAACTACCCTTGAGAACATAAACTTCTATTAGCAACATGTGAGATTGCCTATTTCCCCATGTTTTAATAACATTGGGTGCTGTGTGTTTTTGTCTTCCTCATCTGACAGGTGAGACATGGTCTTGTAACACAGTGGTCAAGAATGTGACTTTGGAGCCAGCCTGCTGGGGGCCGAATTCTGACTCAGCCATTTGCTAACTGTGTGACCTTGGGTAATTCATTTACCTTCTCTGTCCTTCAATTTTATCTTGGTAAAGTAGGAATAATGATAGTACCTATTTTATGGTGTTATTTTGAGGAATACAAGTACAATGCTTAGAATAGTAACTGAAACATAGCACTCAATAAATATGATTTAATTTTTATTTCTTTGAATATTAAAGATTGAATTTTTAAATGTATTTTGGACCTTTGTATTTTTTATTTAAATCAATTATTCATAACTTTTGCACCTTTTTTTTTTTTTTCTTTCAGAGACAGGGTCTTGCTTTGTTGTCTAGGCTGGAGTGCAGTGGTGTGATCATAGCTCACTGCAACCTTGAACTCTTGGGCTCAAGAGATCCTCCTGCCTCAGCCTCGTGAGTAGCTGAGGACTACAGGTGCCTGCTACCACACCTGGCTAATTTTTTATTTTTTGGAGTGATGGGTTCTTGCAACCCAGACTGGTCTTGAACTTTAGCTTCAAGTGATCCTCCCACCTTGGCCTCCCAAAGCATTGGGGTTACAGGCTTGAACCACTGCATTTTGCCTGCACATTTTTTCTAATAATTTTTTTTTATTAATTCGTAAGAGTTTTAACGAGTCTTAACATTTAAGACTATCTTAAATGATAGGGAATTGTTCCCATTTTGTCATTTTTTTTTTCAATTTTCTTTATGCAGCTTTTTTTCTGTGTGCAAATTTTACATTTTTAGGTAATTATAAAATCCTTTCCCTTATAGTTTTTTCTGCTACTAGACCAATGTTTAGAAAAAGCATGTTCCCCACCTCAAAATTATAAAAATAGTTACTTGTTCTTTTTGAGTACTGTGTGTGTTTAAATCTTTAATCTTTAAATTTAAATCTTTGATCCATCTGGTATTTATTTGGACATGAAGAGAGTGGTTGGGATCTGGCTGTGTTTCTTTTCTTTGTTTATTTTTTTTCAAGTCTCGCTGTTGCCCAGGCCAGAGTGCAGTGGTGTGATCTTGGCTCACTGCAACCTCTGCCTCCCGGGTTCAAGTGATTCTCCTGCCTCAGCCTCCCTAATAGCTGGGATTAAAGGTGCCCACCACCATGCCTGGCTAAATTTTTGTATTTTTAGTATATATGGGGTTTCAGTATGTTAGCCACACTAGTCTCAAACTCCTGACCTTGTGATCTGCCTGCCTCAGCCTCCCAAAGTATTACAGGCGTGAGCCACTGTGCCCTGCCGTGTATTTTTTTTCAGTTGGGTAGTTATCCTAAACTCATTTGTTAAAGAAGGAGAAGCAGGAGCCTTCAGTCTATTCTCCTCTTCCCTAATTTGAAAGTGGCTTGTTATTTTAAATATCACATCCTCAGAAATAGCAAATCCCATCTCAGAGAATGGATTTTAATGTTTGGATACAGCCAAAAGTCATTTCATTACTGAACTCTGGGGTTGAATATACCATGTAGAGCAGTTTTGGATCAGAACTCACAGTCTGAATTGTAAGTGATGAGACTGCTGTCTCTCTGCTGAAGCTTCTTAACTGGCTCTGAAGTCTCTTCCAAAGCAGATCCTAACACGGGTACTGCTTTGAAGGGCCATTGTTCATTTGGAATGATACTTTCTGTATTGTTCAAAAAAAAGTGCTTGCAGCAGGTATTTTCTCATTCCAGGTTGAGAGTATTGGTAGGATATTGATAAGGGGTACTGAATGGTAATAAACCTGTTGTGCTGCAGCTCTGCCCTAATCAGCTTATTTCAGAACTCTAGTTTAATTCAGTTTTTTGCCTCTGTCTCAAAATGGAGGGAGGGTGATTCTTATATAACAGAACACACCCACATATCCCTTTGGCAGCAGCTACCTGCCAGAGATGGTGAAGAAGGGTAGCCAACCTTTACATAGCACATACTGTGTGCCAATCATGGTCCTAAGTATAATACCTTACATGTATAAACTTCTTACGAGGTTGGTACTCTGTACTGAGTTGAATGGTATCCCCCAAAATTCATGTTCTTCCAGAATCTGTGAATGTGATCTTATTTGGAAATAAAGTCCTTGCACATATAATCAAGTTGAGATGAAGTTTAAGTGGTGAGTTCTAGTCCAATGACTGGTGTTGTCATAAGAAGAAGGAGACACAGAGGGAAGATGGCCACATGAAGATGGAGGCAAAGATTGCAGTTATCCTGCTGCAAACTAAGGAATGGCTCCGGCCCTCCAAGGGTTGTCAGCAATCACCAGAAACTAGAAGAAACAAGGAAGGATCCGTCCCTAGAGCCTTCAGAGAGAGCATGGCCCTACTGATACCTGGATTTCAGACTTGTAGCTTCCAGAATTATGAGAAAATAAATTTCTGTTGTTTTAAGCCATCCAGTTTGTGGTAATTTGTTATGGCAGTCCTAGGTAACTAATGTGTACTCTGTACACTCTTACCATCTTCATTTTCAGATAAAGGAAACTGAGGCTCAGAGAAGTTAAATAGGAGATCTCTGTAGGCCCCTGCTGTGCTGGCTGTTCATAGATTCTGTACCTCCTGCTGCTGCTGCTGTTGGCTCTCCACCTTTATGATGGCCATCACCTCCTGAGAGTGCTTGAACTGAGCTGCTGGAATGACTCATTTTTATTACTGATCAGGCCATACATAGCCTTTCCCCACGTCTTGCCTGCTTCATACCATAAATCAGAAACTCCTCTTAGGAGGCTTCTGATTGTAGCCTGACCATCTCATCCCCGATCTCTTCTCCAATCCCTCTTTCCCCCTTTTTTTCTCTTTCCTATTCTGTCTTTATTTTTACTTTTCATGCAGTGTCAGAGAGGTGTAGTGATAGTGTTGGGGGAGGATCCCCCAGTTGGATCTGGCAGTTGGTTTTATACTTCCCACTTCTCGTCTGCTGTATCTTCTAGAATTTCTGTTAGTAGACAATTCAGATCTTCTGTTTTTCTTTGGAGCTTTCAAGATCTTTCACATAGCTTATAGTTACATGGCTATGAACAGAGAATGGGCACCTTCATGGTGGCACTGGCTGTGAGGGCACTTTTATTGATAAATTCAACCCACCACAATGGCTGTCTCTCCTGTCAGAGTGAGTGAAGGGATTAGAGCATTTTCTGAACCAACTCATCTCCCTGAATAGCTTCTTGCCTGCCCTGGGGCTTTTCTGTTGGCATTTCATTGGTGGCTATGGAATCTTGCCTGTTTTCCAATATAGACCTTTGGCTTTAGTTCCTGTTCTTGGTCTTATCCACTCTCACAGGACTGAACTCTAGGAACCATGTCTCTTTTGTTTGCTGCTCTGTCCCAGGATTGAGCAAAGCCCTGATTCTTACTAACCCCTCAAGAAATATTTGTTGAATGAAGAAGTGAATATTGACCTGGAAGCTTCAAACTCTTGGTTTTCCTTGCTTCTTCCTGAAGTCAGGGGCCAGAATAAGAATTCGTTTAACAGTCCTAAGCAGTAGAAAAATTGTGATGTCCCTCATACTTTCCTCCCTCAGTATGTATTTAAAAAGTCTAAATGCAAAATAAGTATAAAGAAACCCAGCAAAATATAGAGAAAATATAGCGAAATTCTGATTTTTACCATGGTTACCACTTTGATAAATATAAAGTAACTTAAAATTGTTGTTGTTGTTGTTCTTGTTTTCCCAGTTCTCTGAGCACATGCTGTTGAGTAATCCTGCCTGGACCAGTCCTTCCCTCACCCTAGACTTCACCTTCAGTTCCCCTTTATACCACCTGCTGAAGCTGCCAGTCAGCCTTTTCTACCACCCTACCTCCCCCAGGGGTGTTTGGCTTCTCAGACCCCAGACTGAGCTAGTGCTCTTGGCTCCCTACGGTCTTGCCAGGAAAGTCATACATACTGCCCAAGAGTACCTGATAATGAAAACTCCCATGCTGAATTGTGACTTATAGTCAGCATAGCACATTGTGTCAAGTGATTATACTTAGGCTGCTTTTAGTTTTAATAATCTGCTTCTGTGATCCTGTATGTGGAAAGCCTAGAAATTTCTCTGTGATCCTCCTTCCTGGATGGATCACTAAGAGACAAGTCAAGTCATAGGCCCATTCTACCACCTGTATTAATCTGGGCCTTGTTGAGACCATTCAAAGAAAGGTGTGATGCTAGAAGTAAGGCCCAGGCCTCCTACACATTGTTCCAAGGCTGTGACCATAGTCAAATCCTGTTGAGTCCAAAGAGTTTAAAATAGTGTTGGAAACCTCCTAGGAAAAAAAAAAAACACCGTAACTTCCTGGGAAAGGAAGTGACATGTGCTGACTAGAACAGGAGGGATAGCCAAGACTCCAAGTTCTATTCTGGACCTGTTGTTGATTTGAGGTGTGACATTCAGCAATATGAGCTGATATTCTGTCGCTCTGATTGGTTTCTCATCTTCTGCAGAGAGTGAAAGAGGCTGTGCTTTAGGAGAGCCTCACCATTATATGTCCTGCCTCATTTTAATTCCAGACCTCTTTTTGAGGTGGAATCTTACTCTCTCACCCAGGCTGAAGTCCAATGGTGTGATCTCAGCTCACTGAAACCTCTGCCTCTGGGTGTAAGTGATTCTCTCACCTCAGCCTCCTGAGTAGCTGGACTTACAGGTGTGTGCCACCATGCCTGGCTAATTTTTGTATTTTCAGTAGAGATGGGGTTTCACCATGTTGACTAGGCTGGTCTCGAACTCCTGACTCAAGTGATCTACCTGCCTCAGTCTCTGAACCAGGCCTTTTTTTAAAATACAGAAACACCGCCACAGAGTTAATATAGAAACCCAGCAATGTTGTTTATGTTTTACTTGAATTCATTTCATCAGAATTGTTTTAACAATGTGATTAGATCAGCTCTTGTAGGGGATGGGAGCTTCGATAGGGTTTAGGAAAGGAAAGGAAGATTTGTGTGGGGCACACACCTTGGCTTTGACAGCTTGAGGGTACCAGGTACATGATGATTTAGATGGCTAACAGAAACTTGTGTCCCTTGAGAGCGAGGCATGTATTAGATGCTTTCATATATTATTTAATTGTAATACAAACCAATAAAATA